CGTCCTCCTCTCTCTCTCTCTCTCTCTCTCTAAAAATTCAGATCCTGTTTCGTTTTCCGGGATGAAAAAGTCTATCTGGAAGAGTGAGGAGCGAGTGAAAGAGAGTGAAAGAGATGGCTGGAGGGTGGGGATTTTGCTTGAGAACTAATTTTCTAATGACGTCTTCCCATGGCCAAACAGTAGGTCAAGAGCATAGGTGATGGAGAAGAAGAAGTAGGCTGGGTGACGAGACCCAACCTGATACAGCTGCATGTGGGCTTGTGAACTGTGTACAACCCTGAACTGGATCGATTAGGTTATGACATTTCGTACAACAATGGCCTCCTTGGTTTGATTCTGCTACTGTTTGGCTTTGAAGCTTGAAACTTGCATATGCGTGCTTGCATCTGCCGCAGTGGTAAAAGCTTAAGAGTCAAGTGAAGCACTGTGCATGAAGCAGCTGTTGATCGTTTTGTATGTGAACTTTTCTAGTGACTTTAGTTTATGCTGCAATGATAGCTTAAACAATCCGCAGGTCACTGTCGTCTTCCAGCATCTCTCCTTGGAATCGCAGTGCAATTCTACTCCCTCTGAGAACTTGTGAAAAGGTTAAAGGTTCCATGAAAGGAGAATCTAACTGATGTCATATCTTGCGCCATAATACATGTAATAAATATAATTGGGGAAGAGAGTCTTATCAAGTCCACGTGGAACAAATCTTATAGAACTCCTTAGAACACATCAATGATTAGTTTCAACTGCAAATGCTCATGAATTCATGATTGATCTGGTTTTGCCACCACAGCTTCAACACTGCATGTTCACAGATAGGTGGTGGAAGACTTTTACTTGATCCTTCTTTTCGTGGAGGTACTACTAGTCTTTGATGAGGCAGAAGACGTCCCAACCCAAGTCAAGTCTGCAGTTGTTGCACGGTGAGACTTCACCGAAGACGTATGATTGAGGATACAAAACAAATAGATTAATCTTCGTTGCTATCAACTAAATAGAGCAACATTGTATATATATATATATATAAAGCCAAATGTTTGCTTTAAAAATGGGGAAGATGTCTGGAAACTTCTTTTCACGTGGGAGTCACGTGGCGGTCACTTTCTCCACCCATCGACAACCGCAACCGGTCTCTTACACGTCCACACCCTACCCGCCATCGTGTCAGGAAGGCCCACAGGGGCCCGCATGGCCACGTTTCCTTTTGTCATGGTGGGCCAATACGGGCACGTAGCAGGTGGGTAAGGGCACGTCTTCCGTTGTCGCAACCCGTTACAGCCATGAGGGGCGTTTCCGTCATTTCGTGAATTCCTTGTTCACTTGTGCCACGTGCACCGCACTTGGGAAAACCCGATGGTCATCCCATGACATGGTTGTTTGTTGATGATGATCATGATGATGAGGATGATGCATACATGACCGAAGAGAGGAAAATGTTAGGTATAAGAAGTTCGGATCCGGCTCCGGATCCGATTTCAAGTGACGTTTCTTTATATAGTGTGCTGCCGATCGCTGCCCTCCACATTCTGAATCGGATAGAGATCGGAAAGGGAGAAGGGAGACTTCGAGCAGAGGCGAAGGCCATGGGTGAGGTGAGGCGGGGCTTTTCTTCTTCTGCCGTTTCTGCTCTCAGCTGCTTCTCTGTTTTCATGGTTTTGTTTGCTCAATTGATTTGTTGTGACAATGGCAGGAGAAGGAGAAGAAGGGAGGAGGGGAGAAGAAGGAGGAGGAGGAAGCCGTGGAGTTGAAGCTCGACATGCACTGCGAGGGCTGTGCTCTCAAGGTCCGCAAGGCCGTCAAGGGGTTCGAAGGTAATGCTCGTCTTTCCACTCTCGATTTCGTCCTTGAAATTGAAATCGAGTTGAATTGAGCCGATTCTCTCTGTGAGCGACGAGGACTAATCATCCACTACAACGATCGCGTGTTTACAGGGGTGAAAGCGGTGGTCGTGGATGCCGCGAACAACAAGTTGAAGGCGATCGGGAAGGTGGACCCGTGGAAGCTCAAGGAGTTCCTGGAAGCCAAGACCCACAAGATGGTCGACATCATCTCCCCCAAAGACCCTCCCAAGAAGTCCAAGGACGACGACAAGAAGAAGGACGAAGGCCAGAAGAAATCATCGGACGACAAGAAGCCCAAACCGGTCAGCAATCCATCCACAGATCGAGTTCGATCACCGTTTCGTCGTACTAATTCGTTTCTTCTAATCTGTCTGTGGAACGACCGATAGAGTGCCGTCTCGACGGCGGTGCTCAAGATTCGCCTGCACTGCGATGGCTGCATCCGAAGAATCAAAAGAAACATCTACAAAATTAAAGGTAAAATAAATCAATTAATTCTCCCCAGTTATCTGATTTTTCTTGTATCAGTTTGATGTGGATGCCGTTTTCCAACCGTCGGATGGGAGCGTCGGTTCTCATCCGACGGTTGGAAATCGTCGCGGCATTCATCGACTTGCGCGCGTTGGAGGTTTGTGTTATTTTTGCGGTGTGGATTGACAAAATTACCCTCAGGCGTGGAGGAGGTGACCGTGGACGCGGCGAAGGATCTGGTCACCGTAAAGGGCACCATGGACGTGAAGTCCCTCGTCACCGTCCTCAAGGAACGCCTGAAGCGCGGCGTCGAGATCCTCCCGGCGAAGAAGGACGAGGGCGGAGGCGGCGAGGTCAAGAAGGAGAAGGCGGCCGGCGGTGGAGGGGAGAAGAAGGAGAAGGCCGGCGACGGTGGCGAGGAGAAGAAGGAGAAGGGAGGCGACAGCAAAGGGGAGAAAAAGGAGAAGGGAGGCGATGGCAGCGGCGATAAGGAGGAGAAAAAGGAAGTGGGAAAGAAAGAGACGACGACGACGGTGGTGGAGGCGAACAAGATGGATTACTACGGGCCGCCGTTCGGGGGCTACGGAGGTTATGGTTACCGTGTGGAGATGATTCACCCACCACAGTTCTTTAGCGACGAGAACCCCAACGCCTGCTCTATCATGTGACCGACACGTGTTCGTCGTACATTTTCGCAGCAGCTTATGTAAACAAGAAATGTAAATTGGGAAGAGTAAAAAAAAGCGAACAAATCTTTTCGTTTGGTTTTTGTTTACTTAATTACTAATATATATATATATATATATTGGAATCCAGTGATCGAGGAAGTGAAGTGGTGATGTGAAATATGTCCAACTTTAGGAATAAAGTCTCCAATTAGGATGGTTTGATGTTACCGGACGACTTATGATGCAGCGAAGCTTCAGGAGATACACCAAATGCTGAATCAGCTCTTGTTACGTGTCAACTTCTTTTAATATTATTGTTGTTGTATGTGATGAGAGATGAGTAGGGAAGGATCTTAGGCAGGTTTTCTAGTGCTCTTTGGAAGTTTGCTTGTCATGAAGTGGATAAAGAATCTTTTAATGATAAATCTTAATTATTACTATCTTCCCTGTCATTGTTTATACATCATCCATCAAAGCATGAGAAAGATGGGCAAGCGTTGGAAATGTGTGTGCACCAACCATTGATGGGATCAGTACAGTGCACACTACCTACCAGCCTCCACTGGGACCATAGTAATCAATAAAAATCGTATGATTTGATATCTTTTAAATGTTGTTTGGTTTGTACATGAGACAAGGAAGTGGGGTGGGAGTGATCACAGTGGGTGATTAGATGATGCAGTGATATGAGAATAATTAATATATATATATATAACGTAAATTCTTTTTTTATTAATTTCTTCCCTTTTTTTCCCTTGAAAAATACTTTACAGAGGTCAATTTTACGAGAATTGCATGTCGAGCAATTAGTGGACCGACAGAGTTCAATTTCTTTGAGCAACCAATCGTTGAAGTTTGTAGAATAGCCGACACAAGATGAACAAAATATTAGGACATGTCAAGTGATAGAAAAAGATATGAAACCGGTCGAGATTGTTATTGGCGTGGCTTTTTGTGATGGAGCATCAAATTAACCAAAAAATTTTATTGTCTTTATTGAATGATACATCAAATTAGTTGAACTCCAACATCATCAGCAATATCTCTCTTAATCCTTAATGAATATTATTGGATGAAAAAGAAAAATTCTCGAGTATTGTTTTCAACAAAATTTTGAGAAAATCTTCAATTATTTACTCGATGATTCTTCGTTTGGATGATGATTTTTTGCAATTTATTTTCTTGTTCATGAATATTTTTCGAATTAAATAAAATTATTCTCGACATTAATTGACTTATTCACTTGTTGTATAGGAAAAAAAAATAAAGCATTGTATAAGATGTAACGTTAGTTTCTACAAAGTTAAACACTTGTCACAAAAAGAAAATTTATAATTTTAGTAAAAAAATAAAATCAAGAATTACATGTGCAAGAATAGTTATGATTAGTTAAATTTGTGGGTGTGGAATTTTCATTTGCATTACAAGTTCCTCTACTTGTAAGGGTTTTAATCCCAATCCAATGATCAACAAGAGTTCCACCAGCATTATAAACCCATTTTATTCTCTATATCCATTAATACAAACCCATTTTAAACAAGGGGATTTCTTTAAAAATGCTGCTCGTTTTTTTTTTTTTCTAAATGAGGCCTATCATATTTATCGGTTGTTGTCTTCATTTTCCTTTGATGTCCTATATGCTCCTCCTTACCATCGGCAATACCTCATTCTCGAGAATGATGGATAGAGAATAATGGTAAGGTTGAAATAATAGATGTAAAGAGATGACCACCATAGGATGAAAGCAACATGATCGAAATGACAAGACTTTCCGATGGAGCGAAGGTAATCACGACGAGGTGGAAACGATAAGATCTTACGGAAGCGAGACAACTTCGAGGCACTTGATAACTCATACCTGAAATAGGATGTGACGATAATAAAAAACATCACTATGTGATGAATGAAAAAAGAGACATTGGCGATTGGCGATAGGTATTTTAGATATTTAAAAAAATAAAGACATCAAATATAAATTTTAAAATTAATAAATATTATTTTAAAATTTTTAAAAAGAAAAACGTTTTTTTGTTACAAAAATCACATGTTCATATTGTATTCATCTAAATCTGCCTCTTAAAAATGTGATGATTAATTTTGATGTCATATGTTTCTTCGTACCATCGAATCGAATCCCTCCCCACCCTCACATTCTAGTCAGCGGAAGTCCACCACAGGATCATGTGATGGTCCCTGACCTTACAGAATATTTGTAGGGATGTCAAGGTAGAAAGTGGAAGGAGGAGATCATTCTTTCCTTCTTTATGTGGAGGATGCTTCATGGAAGTTAGCATCAGGCAATCATGTGGAAAGAGAAAGAAGAAAGAAAGAAAAGCTTATCCTCCTCCCCCCTCACTCCTGCAAAGCTGCTGTAGCATTGCTGTTCCTTCACACCTCAAATCCAAATGCATAAGAAAGCTCCAAAGGTCTTCTTTAGTCTTTCTGTCATGCCATGAGATTGGATGAACATGATGTGTGTTCATCATCTTTACCTCCTCTTCTCCACCACCACCACTTCCTCTAACTCGTATGGTTTGGAGTTCATAACCATCTCCCTCCCTGGAAGTGTCTTTTCTGCATATGTTTTCTTCAGAAAATGTTACCGTGGAAGGCAGCCAACTTGAAAGAACATATATACATATATATTTCTTCATCCACTCATGATCGAAGAATGAAGTGAGGGCGATAAGTTTTCAGTGAACTGGTAATTGATTGGAAGAACATTTCAATTATCTCATTGGTGCTATTTTTATTGTTGTTGGCCTTCTAAAACCCATTTCGTGGCTCATCTCATCTCTCTACTCATTCAAAATGCAAACAAGAATGGTAGCAACAACAAGTGTTATATGGCACTTAGTGCCCCTAAGATAAGCTTAAAGATAATGTTGCTAATGCTAACGGTGCAATTAAAAGACATTAGTACCTTCTTATCAGGCCATTACTGCACTGCCATAAGAGTAGGACGTTCGAGATTCGAAAAGAAACTTCGAAACCACACCAATTACTATTTGGTGTTGACTTCTGACATGTGATGTCAAATTATCGGTCCCATGTCACCACCACCATATAAGGTCAACGATGAAGAGCCACACAAACATGCCACATGCTTTGAGCCAAATGTATACATTTCCCGAAAATAATATTAACGATTTGATCTTGTTATTGTTGTCCTTAGCTTCGATTTGAAACCAAATCACACATGATTGACACATATAATAATATTCAGATATAAATATATTTAAATATAAATGTAACCGAATATAACAATAATTAAATAAATATAGATACATCTAAATAAATTTATACATTAATAATTTTTATATTTATCTTTATACATATATATATTCATGTTCACGAATATAATTGATACATCTAAAAATAATAAAAATAATAAAATTATTAATTATTATTAGTGTCGAATTTCCTGATAGTTTCTTTACTAGATTTGAACCAGTCAAACTGCTGAGTCGAAACCGGGCCACGTCTTGTATAACTCATAGTGGTGGCGGCCCCACCAAAATGGGTGGTGGAAATGGCAGCACCACCGGGCCCCCTCTTGGCAATTGAGGACATGCATCCATCACCGCCCCAGTTTCCCCTGCATATTAACGGGTTTCGGATGTAGATTTTAACGGGCGAGTTCATTTGTTCGACCCGGAAGCCGACATTGGATGGCATGTGGGTCGTCATGCATCCTCATCTTCATCGTCATGTGATGGGTTTACCATGCTTGGCTGTTGGGCCCATTTAGTCGAAGTCAATGTTTCCAGAATGTGCTATGGATGGTATGTCGACGGCCTCATGAAGCCATGTTGGGATTTTAAACGTGGGAAGGATAGGAGCACGCATCGATCGTTCACGAATCTCAAAGCACGCACATCCCGTTCCACCTGCTCCGACTTCTTCTAACCGCCCTCGATCTCGCACATACTACTCTCCGTCGACCCGGCCGAGCCAAACCCAGTGGTCTAGTCGTTTGGGATTCCCGTTCCGTCGAACACGGGCGCCCGGCATCGTCTCTCCCACAGATGGGGTGCTCCTCCTCTCTTGCAGGTCCCCAATCCCTTCTTCCTTTCCCTTCCTCCTTTCTTAGGGTTTGATCTATCGTTCTCCGTCTTTACCCTTTGTTGATTGCTCCATGTCTTCGATTCTCAGGTAGGATCGTCTTTGTACCATAATTTCTTGTCGATCCTTGTTGTGTGAAAGATAGGAGTGCCATTCTTTCAATAATTGATTATCCGAATCCCTTTCTTGGTATTTTGTTTTCTTTTCGCCATCTTGATACGGCTGTAGGTATGTTCGTGATCTTTGTTACATAAGGTTAGCTATCCGATCTATAATCGATTCAATGCCAGAAGGATCCAAACTGTTTCCTTCAATGCCGTTGTGTTGCTTGATTCGTGAGAGAAGCTGCCTAGTGGGATAGTCATATTGATGGTGGTATGCATCTCATGTTGCTGGGCTGCGATGGAGCTCAAAATGCAAAGTCCTGGTGGCGAGATGTATTAATGTGTTTCCAGGCATAGAAAAACACTTTTGTGTAACCAGAGTTTGATGGCAATTAAGGATCCATTTGATGATCATTTCGATAAGATTTTGCAGGCCTCGTGCATGTGGTTCTTGCACGAAGTGCTAGTCATACAACTTTCTGTTTGTATAATTCCTGGGCTGCGATGGAGCTCAAAATGCATAATTCCTGGTAGCGAGATGTATTATTGTGTTTCCAGGCATAAGAAAAACACTTTTGTGTAACCAGAGTTTTATGGCAATTAAGGATCCATTTGATGATCATTTCGATAAGATTTTGCAGGCCTCATGCATGTGGTTCTTGCACGAAGTGCTAGTCATACAACTTTCTGTTTGTATAATTCCTGGGCTGCGATGGAGCTCAAAATGCATAATTCCTGGTAGCGAGATGTATTCTTGTGTTTCCAGGCATAAGAAAAACACTTTTGTGTAACCAGAGTTTGGTGGCAATTAAGGATCCATTTCATGATCATTTAGATAAGATTTTGCAGGCCTCGTGCATGTGGTTCTTGCATGAAGTGCTAGTGATATAGCTTTCTGATTGTAAAGGGCTTACAGTTTTAATCTATATAATCTATTAAATTATCAGAACTTTTTATCATATTTGGAAATTTGAGAGTTTCTATAGGTATTATTAGTTAGATGCAGAATATTGGTAGAGGGCCGATGAAGGGTCTAGTTGCTAAGGTATTAAGGAATCATATGGCTATGAGGCATGCCAACCAGAGAGTGAGGAGAAAGTGAGAGAAGGAAAGAAGGGTAGGTGATGAGGCACCAGGAATTCATTTAGTTAGCAGGCATGTCTATTTGATTTTTCAGCTCATAGTAAGGTTGCTGGATTTGGTAAAAGTTGCCAGAAATGTTGTGGTGGTGGTTGGGGAGAATGAGAAAATTATGCTTGATCGCACTTTGATCATGAGATCTGTGTTCTTAGTAAGGATAAACTAACATAGTCTACATCTGAAGATTGGTTTAATAGTATTCTATGCTATGTAGTTATTGTTCATTGATTAATTTTCTTTTGGGACACTTATCATAGAAGGCATATTTAACTAATTGGTTATACAAACTCATCTGCCAAGTCCTTACTATGAGGTGAGAAAATTTGGTGGACTTCACTTTTTTCAAATACTCTTTAAATGCAACATCTATAACTTTGTGAAAAATAACTTTTTTGAATTCAGAATGAGAAAGATGAGTTTCAACTTCACACCATGGTAGAGGCTCTTTTAGAGTTTCTTGTACGAAGTGATGTGTATTCCTTTTTTCTCTGTTTCTTCAACAAGAGCTGAATGAACGTTTTTATATTATCAAAGTTTGTGAATTCATCCTTTCAAAACCATATGAATTATGATGCTTACTATATCATTTGGCAGTTTTAGATGGCAACATATTGCTGTAGCATAAGGGTTTTTCCCATTAAATAAAGAAAATTGTAGTCAAAACAATAGATATCGCAATATCCAGTTTAATGCTTATGTCTCGAACGATGGTCTTACAAAATGCAGAGTTTTTAGTTTGAGCCATCTTTCACAAGGTTATGTTTATGATTCTTATATATAATCCATTAGTATGCTAGCACTTATGGCACTGTCATTATATGATTACTATATCCTATTCGGTTTTTGTCAACCCAACATGGAAGGAGGTTCTTCAACTTCTTCATGTGAGTAGATTTTTGTGTTTCGATGTAAAGCATATCTTCAGAATTAAATGTTTTTTTGTTGCCATATTTAAGATAGAGAATTAAATGATGGATTTTGTACTTTCGAGATAGTGTAAGTAATTTGAATGTCATCTTTTGGTGATAATCAGATAGAAATGCTGGAAGGTTGGACGGTTTGAATAGTGAAAACTCAATGGCCACTGATTCAAAGAACATTCGTGTTAAGGTATGCTATATGTGGTTCCTATCCTGTTATACCAACATTATTCCATGTATCCTGTTATTTGTTTTGATATTACTGGTCTGTTCCTACTGATCATATCTTGAGAATATTGTTACATGAAATTTTTTGACTTGTCTGTACTGATCAATATCAGCACACATGTATTATGACAAGTAAATCCTTGTTTTTAACTTGGAGAATCTGAACAGTTAATTGCTGTTTTGGTGTATTTCTTATTTCTTTGTTGTTGTAGCTTATCATATTTCATTGTGACATAAAAGAGCACCATTGTTTATCTAAAATTTAGATATTTTAAGGAAATATTCAACACACATTCAAGAACATCTTACAATTGTTATATGTGACATGTATCCGATACGGATAGAGTAAGCAAATTCAAAGTCTCTGTGTTTACATATAGATGACCTTATCAGAGGTAAAATGATTCTAATTGAACCAACTCAAGATTTACTTTCATTGCAACAGAAACTTGATTTGCTGCCGGAGTTCCTTGAAACTCGAGTTTCGATCTGACATTTTTATTTTAAACAAACAAAACAACATTTTGAAGTTTTTGATCCTAATTTTCTTTTGTCAATGTTATTCCTGACAAAAATAGCTGCTTCCTAAAATGGAGTTATCATAGTTCAGTGTGTAATTAATGTAAATTGGCCTCAATTTATCGGTCAGAGATATTCAATAAGCCAAACTGCATTATCTTCTTGTTTGGCTCCCTTATCTCCCTTGTGTGCTCTGAGATTCAATTTTAAGTTTTCCTACTCAGATAACAAGGGTATAGTGCTTCTGTAAGATCAGTAATTTCTATATGTATACAGATTTAGTGTGTTTCTTAACACAGTTGAATGATGGAGCTATGACACTGCCTATGTTGATTGTATTGCTTATATACACATGAGTTTTCATGCGTTCGTGAGTCTACCATTTTCTGCAATATGAATTTGCTTATTTGTGTGGAACCTTTATTGATTTATTTGCATAATTCTGAGGGCATAAGCAAATACTGGAAGCAAAGAAATTTTTAGATTATGCAGCCTGTTGACCTTGCTTGTTGAGAGTTTACCATTTCCATTTTTGAATTATTGGTTTATAGTTTTCAACAAAAAAAGTTAGGCAAACCTTTGTCTGAAATGTGCTTGCGCCAGCTAACTGATTTTGATCCTAGTGTTGTCTCTGTCTTTGCAGTTGGTATTGTTGGGTGATTCTGGTGTTGGTAAAAGCTGCATAGTCCTTCGGTTTGTTCGTGGCCAATTTGATCCTACTTCAAAGGTAATGCTTTATCTAAATAGATATCTAACAATTCTGGGTCTGTTGATGTACTTTTCTGCCTGTATTGACAGTTCCATCACATATTGAATACATTTGTAACATTAGGCTTTGAATTGGATTTTTCAACCTAATAGTAGTAACTATTGGATCCTTAGGCGTATTATTCAATAAGGAATGTTGAAGAAAATAATTCATCATATAAGATAACAAGACAGTTAAAAATAGAGAGGTTGCATCTCCTGTAAAGTGCATTCTCATTGTTCAAGAATCTCTCTAATTTAACAAATTTTGTAGGTTGCTTATGAGATCATTATGTTTTATGAGTTAGAATGTTGAACAATTAGGAAGCACTAGATAAGAAAATTCCATGTATTTGAAAAGATGTTCCTGAGATGGATCATCGGTGTTACAAGGAAAGATGGTACAAGAAGTTATTACATTCACTTAAGAACTAAGAATAAATATCAATAGAGGCTGAAGGAATACCAATTAAGGCAGTTCAATCATATTGTTGATGTGTTACCAGAAATAATTCAAGATAGAGATTCCTATAGAGTGAAAGGCCAAAGAAGACATGGACAAAATGTTTGGATTACTTGAGGATTTACAATCTTAACAAAATAGAAGTGCAACAATATATTTATTAGCTAACCACAAGTGGTTGGAAACATAAATTCTTTCTCTTTCCTAAGTTATTGCACCATCAATGTGACTTAATATATATATTTTTTAGTGCCCCTGTTTTCTCGTTTTAATTTCTTTCATCCTACAGCATGTGCCCAAGTGGTTCCTTTTGATATATGTTGATTCTCATAAGGTTCATTCAGGTAACTGTTGGTGCTTCCTTCTTATCACAAACATTGGCATTGGAGGACTCCACAATAGTGAAGTTTGAAATATGGGATACAGCAGGACAGGAGAGGTGCACAATTTAATTGTCAAAAATGTCATTTGCTGCTCCTAGTGTTCCAAAATCCTTTGTGGATCAAACATGTTATAGTGTGGTTAGGTGAAATATATGCATGAAATATATGGATGATATTACTGTTTCTATTTCTGATGTCTAATGACCACAATTAAATGATATATAATAACTTATAATTATTTTTTGAATGTTTTTTCTTTTCAAGGTATGCTTCACTGGCCCCTCTTTACTATCGAGGAGCAGCTGTTGCAGTTGTGGTATATGACATAACAAGTCAAGAAACATTCAAAAAAGCACAGTACTGGGTCAAGGTATCATGCATCTTTTAAATCTAACTAGGTTTTACTGGATGGGAATTTTGCTTCTTTCTGTGGTTTTGTGGGTTCTGCTTGTTAATCCTCAAGTTTAAGTGGATGTCATGAGTATTGGGAATGATTTAAATGCAACAGATGTAGTGAGATATTAACTTGCAGCCTATGGAAACCTGATAAAATGGCATATAATGTTAGCTACATTTTTCCTTTTGTGCAAATTTAACTTACATACGGGAAGACCTGTGCTGCACAAGGCTCCTTCCAATGCAAATTATTTAACCTTACAGAGCTTTTACATAATGTAGAAATAACAATCAGTCACTATTAAACATTGATCTGGTGATAGTGGTGTACTAGATTCTTTGAGGAGGGATCAAAAACTCATTTGATATATTTCAAAGATAACAGCTAACTAAGCGACGTTGACTAACAAGGTCTTATTGGATCAAATCTCATTTTCACCACTTATCCTTTGCAATAGAAAAATAAAAACAATCAGTGCACTACTGCAATTAACATAGCAAGAGAGTTGACATGGGTAGGACCTGGCTGTGCCGCAAATGCATAACAGCTGAGAGTGTCATCCTTGGGTAGAGTAGTTTTGTATTGTTACTAAGATTTATTACAGAGGGAAATGACTTTTCTTTTGTTGTTCCTACTTCATCTGAGCCTTGGGAACAAGAGAAAACTCTAAATGAATCATTGAAAAAAAAAATACACGAAATTCCTAGCGTTTGTGTTTGTTTGTTTTTTTTTTTTTGCGTATAATGTTGTTTGCTTTTATTGTCTAACATCTTTTATGAGGATTCATTATAATTATAAATTAGATATTTCATTTGAAGGTCAGTGGCCTCTTACACTTGAGACTTCCTCAAATGCTAGAACTAGGTTGTTATCTATCAACATTTGCTCTATAAAACTAAAAGTTCTATCATTAACTATAAGATGAACTTTCAAGTCTTGGAAGCAAGTCATCAGCATGTTCATGGATAAAATAGTTTTTTAAATAATTGGAGTCTGTAATCTTTCATGTGTTTTGGGTAAGTCTCCACTGAGGTCTCAACTTGCCAACCTTTTTTTTAGCTAACCATTCTTGGCTTCCGTATCTTTTGACTTCTCTCCCCTTTTTTGTAACGACGTCTCCACTTGAAAACTAAACTTATTTTTGTGCATCTATGTGTGCCTTCCTCATTTAAATTTTCAACACCGTTGTAGTGGTCAATGCCAATTTTGTTAATACTACATATTTGCAATTCTGAGCAATAGTGAGTGCAAAGTTCCATTCTAGAATGTCAGGTCCATATATAATGATAATGTGGTCTCACAAGAGAGGTTTCAAACATTGTGGTGTATTATGTGTAATATGAACACTTTTTCATTCACCAACAGGTTATTGCTGATGTCAGGTTGATAGAACGTTTAGGAGAATTACTCTCAGTGATTAGGAATAGCTGCTTTCTCCCTTCTCTTGCAAGGAAGCCTATTTATTGTACTGAATTATGGTACCATGTAGTAGAAAAACCACTATAAATGTGCATTGTTTTTTTGGAGAATCTCCAGGTTGAATCCTGTTTTCCATTAATATCCAATGATAAAATATGTTTTTGAGTTTTCAGTAGTTATTTTGTAAGAGAAACAAAATAGATGGCAAGGTAGTACACAACCTTACCTAGGCAAACATAGTCTTTTGTGTGTGTGCGCGCGTGTTAAATAGGGATATTGATATGCAAAATAGCATCTCCTGAAGTGGAGTTAGGCTGCTTATATCTGGTCCTCGTAAGACTTCCGAGCCTCTTGCACTGGGTAGCCTTTGCCGTCTCTTACCTCTATGTATAAAATTAATATTAGGTGATCAGATTGATCAGTTCAAATATGTCTGACAGGAACTTCAAAAGCATGCAAGTCCTGGCATCGTCATGGCCTTGGTGGGTAATAAGGCTGATTTGCATGAAAAAAGGGCTGTATCATCCCAGGTAGGCAGTAGTTTCTAATTGGCAACCTGTGAATCTGCTTAGCTTTGACCAATATATATTTGGCTGTGCTAGGAGATGACATTTCATTCATTTTGAAGGATGCTATGGAATATGCAGAGAAAAATGGAATGTTCTTCATCGAGACATCAGCAAAGACAGCTAACAACATCAATCAACTCTTTCAGGTATTCATGTAGTAATATGATTAGGTGCACTAATGTCCAGTTTATTGGCTTTTAATTATGACAAAACAGAGAAGCTGCTTGATGATTGTGAGAGATTATTCTTTTAATTACTATGATCACAGTTCATGAAATTCTTAGGTACTTGGTTTTTTTAGCTCCTGATGCTTTGAGAGCCTTTTTGTACTTTTTTTCTAATCTAATCTTGTTTTCTTTTTTTTTTTTTTCTAAGAAGTTTAAAAAACTAAGGTGACTTTGATTCTGGATTAACTTACCTGTAATTTGTTGTTCTATTTGCATGATATTTTGATCTCACATATATGTAACTCTTTCATGATGGAAGCAATGTTTCAGCAAAATGTATTTGTACATTTATTTTCTCTGAGCAAACATTTTTTTCTTATTTCAGGAGATTGCAAAGAGGCTTCCTCGGACATCTTCCTAACTATCGTGTCTGGAGATTGATTCTTTCTTCTTCTGACTCACCTGACATTCCTAATTACTGTGTAAAATCATAGTATATGATTATACCTGTGTAGTAGTACTCGTGTCTTTAGTTCTTCTGCTGCCTGACACATCGTTTAAAACTAATGGCACACCAAATTGGGTTACAGTATCCCCATCCATTAGTGACATTTGCGTCAATAAAAAAAATTAGCTATTAATTTAGTTTATCAATGTATCATGCGAGGGATGTTTACAGGCAATGATAAAGTGTGATAATAGTGGGGATGGGGAATCTGATTATTATGATGGTGGTGGTAGTGATGATGGATGATGTCATGGCAAAGGAAGTGTCGTGTTGTATAGTAATGCTGCTATGATCATAATAACGGGTGTTGCGCTAATAGAGGCTTAATCGTGGTTAATTCACTGTTGCATAGATGATAGGTTTCATATCAACTATGAAAGCGTTTTGTACGTCATTTAATATAATAAATAAAAATTATTATTTAAAGAAAATAATTATGATGATGATGATTGATATAATTATAACTTTTAATATCTATTTATAAGATTTTAGGAAGTCTAATGTACAGACAGTCAAACCATAGTGACATATGTATGGATGGACACTTGCTAAACTTAACTTTAAAGAGATAAATATGAAAACATTTTATTTTAGTGGGATATATACACCTTCCATTTTTTTTGGAAAATATAAATAAATATTCTTTTTATTACTGTAATTGAGAAGGGAGGGGCAGACTCCATTCATAAAAGTAGTACCTGTAACTCTTGTTTTTGTTTGTAGGAACGGAAGACTTACATCAACCATCATCTCCCAGTCATCGACGGAAACAGCACATATACTTTTTTAACTATGAAGAACCATATACAGCAGGCGGCGACCTCTGGCGTGCGTGCTTCATGGCCTGCGGTGCCCCCTCGTATCGCACATTGCTGACCCCAGCGTGTTGTAGTTGACGTACCGGCTCGGGGCGGACGGCGGCGGCCGGAATCCCCTGGGCTTGCAGCCCCTCACCTCCGCCCCACCACCCTTGAAGGAACGCCGATCCCTGTGGCGAGGTCTGAACGTGACGTAGTGGCGATGCTCGAACCGCCCGACGCCGGCCGTCACGACCGGAACCGCGAGGAAGAGGAGGAGGAGCAGCAGCAGCAGCACGGCGAGCGAGGTAGGCATTGGGGTGGAGGACGAGGTGGGGTGTGGGCACTGCCTTGGCGTTTGCAGAGGGTGGGAGAGGGGGAGGAGTATAAGAAGAGGTGGTGGAGATGGTGGCGTGGAGAGAGTGATGGGAAGAGGGGCGTCTTAAAGAGACTCGTGAGGACAGGTCAGGAGTGAGATCTCACAGCTCAACGCTAGCCGGCAAAGTGCGGGACTTTGTCGTGAATCCCCTCCCCCTCGGTGGTGAGCGTAGGATGCCGCTTCCTCTATCCCCCCCCCCCCTCCTTTTTCTCGCTCTTCCATCAGCTTCCGGACCACGCAGGTGATGATGCTCGTGCACTGCATTTAATTGCTCCCATCGCCCTTCTTTCTCAGCGTCAAACCCACCACGTAGACATCGCCTCAACATAACAATAACATCATCCCATACGCACACCACGTAAACGCATGTATACCGGCAGAGCAGTTCGTCTTCAAGCTACGTAGGTGTGTTGTCGACTCCTTCGCATGGTCAACTGGCGAAAAGTCAACCGACGTGGCAACGTTGACTTTTTCGAAAACGGAACCGATGGGCAGTTTGTGATGTCGCCAGGTCGACTCGGAACGAGAATACGTGGATGAATCTGGACGGTCCATCGATCTATGGTAGGTGGAAAGTGAGATCGGATCAGATGCGTTGACAGAGAGTTTGGTTGCATTTGGTGGGCATTCAATGAGGGGCAGATGAGAGGAGTAGTATCCGATCGATGCCGGCGGTGTCATCGAAGGCGACACGCCCCGATTGTTCATACGCTCCTTTTTGTCGGCCATTCCACAAATATCTCACACCAATCAATTCATATAATGGATAAATAATTTATTATTATTATTATTATTTTCAATTAATCCACACTCGTGAAGCTCAACCAATGCCTATAGAACATATCACATCGATATGATTATTCAAAAAAAATATTTTTTAATTAATATGAATATGCCAAGTCAATTTTGTAATATATCGAGACATGACTCTATCATTTATCAATGACTATAAATATATTATTCATATTGAAAAAGATATTTGATATGATTTTGGATATAATACATGACTATGATATTTTATGTCATGAATACATTCCTTAATGAGACCAAAAAAATTATCTCCTGTTGTTGGCACGTGTGACACGAATCACGTCGTGTCTTGTCTGCTCCACGTATGACATTTCGTGTCTTGTTACAAAGTTAGCAAATTGTCTCTCATGGATGCGCGTGTTGGAAACTCATGTCAAGCATAATAAATTAATACTTAAGATAAGAAGCTAATTAATTATACAAACTAAAAGATATGGATTAATACAAGGAAATGTAAATTAAGGCTATTAGTTGGGAAACATAAACATGGAAGGAAGGAGAATGTGAAACATATTATGAGAATAACAAGTACAATGGCTATTTTAGCTATAGTGGTACACTCTAACCACATATGTACTATCTACGATTTGATGTACGCCACAACCACATGTTTGCATTTATTGTATCGTCTATGGCGTCTTCCTAAGTCTCCAACTCATGGATAACGGCGATCACCACCACCACCACCATGCAAGAGAAGCTCCTTCGGCTGTCATTACAAGACACAGCAGCCATGGGAGGAAGAGCACATGGCTGTCAGTGACTACGTCCAAAATGAGAGCTCCTCGAGCTCACTTCCAAGCTCCAACACCACTCTCCTCTTCCAACCCCTTTGCTGGCCCTTCTTTGCGGTCCATGATTGAGATTGGCAGTGAGATGTTGGAGGCAGTACATCATACATATATGCACCTCCCTGCTGCATTCTCACAGTAACTTATAATACTGCATTGAACTATGCCCTCCATCTTCTTCTCTCTCTCTAAATGGCCTCAGCTGGTTGACATAAACAACCTTAAACGACAACATGCAGCGAGGTATAGAAATGAATATTATTGCGGTACTCCTTTTATTGTATGCTCATTCTTTCGCAGAGTATATATGACTTGTCCTTGTATCGACTATGCATGATATAAGGTTGGCGAGGAGAAAGCCGAATGGATGCTTTAAGATTCGCGTTCTCCATAGGCAATCGAATGAGCCGTCCACGTGTTGGGGTGGACCAGCGAGTCAAATCTTGTCCGGTCTAAATCGATTTGGTCAAACCTTCTTAACGTGGCTTCCCATGAAATCGAGGCATAGGCCACATAAAATAAACGTCATCTCGATCATGATATCAATATTATCTCTCTTGAACTTTAGCTTCGATTTGATTTAGTTTACCCAAAGATCTTTTTTCAAATTAGGTTAGATCGTACGCTTGTAATCATCAAAACATGACTAAAATCTTTTTTCTTTAACATTTTAATTTTATAGATTATTTTGTCGGTAAAACAAGAAATATAAAGATTAGAAGAGACATGAGACCTACTAATTAGCTCGGCTATAATGTCCATTTCAGACATGAAACAAAATTATCTAATGAAAATTCATCGATCCTTTGCAAGAACATCTTCAACCTATTGTTCTTCGCATCTTACCTATCGATCGATCGGTAAGATATTATATAATTTAGACTAATTCAATTAAGTTTATGATAATATAGTCAGCGGATGTAATGATTGATGATTCATTTTGTTAATTAGTAGGTCACTCAAAGTAGTCCCTAGATCTGTCGTTGGATGAGCACAAATCAAATGATCAATGGATGGGTCGATTTCTGAATCGTGATAAAATGGCACCTTCCAAAACGTATTCATGTTGGCTTCTTTGATGTGCTTGAACACATATAAATCAATTCCACATCATGGCTCGAATAAGTTTGTACCCATCCTTAATAATACAGTAGGACATGTCACACAAAGATGTTGAATTGGACATCGACGTTGGACTCATCTTGTCTAAACACCAATAATTTCGGAAAACAATAACCTCTTCTATGGCACTCTTCTTATTATTTGGATCTATAATAACCTAGATTGTAACTTTATTTCCTTCCTAACTAAACTAGCATCATTCTTATAGTAGATCCATCTACCAAATCAGCAACGTAGACCAAGCAAATTAGAAGTCACCTAAACCCTAATTCATTGGTGATATGAGAATAATTATGTAAGAAGAAGTTCTAAAACATTCACGCCAAGTGAATGATACTTCAATATCATGTGATCGACACCTCATTATTATATGACCGATATGACTTCTTTCTCTAAATATTATGACTCTACTCAAGATTGCATCATATCCTTTAATTTTGGTATAATATGATTACACGAAATATCAAACGAGATAAGTAATTGTTTCTCGTATTAAATTATGACCTCAAGTACACTAGTCGTATATCTTCAATATAAAAGCCTTTTAAATATGTTATCTAAAATGATTGATTCTCTAATACATTTCACTTTTACAAACTCATCATTCAATCGAGACTTAAGTTTTTGAGGGATTTTGTTAGGCATAATCATAACCTAAATTTACTATGTTTGATGTATATTCAAATTAGATGCCTCTGAAATCTCTTGCTCTAACACCATCTCATATCGTTGTAAAAAAAGATTTGATGGGCTCCAAATTGATATTGGATAACAATATCAATTAGTTTTGAGAAGAAACTTATTTTATGTAGATTATTTTTTAAAAAAGAATTACCATTGTAATTAGTGGATTCAATTACGTGGATTATTTTTATCATTAATAAAATTACTAATAAAGTTAAGAGGATTTGGATATTTATGTATAGTTGTATTGTAAAGTTATTAAGTTTGTTTTTTCTCTCATTAGGTAATTAATACTAATAATTATTTCATCTCTTTTAAACTATAATGTTTATAGATCTTCTAGAATATTACATCTTAAATTGTTCTTTTCATTTTATCCTCTACTAAAAAAACTACACTTAGCTTGTTCATGAGTATTTTTTTTAATTTGTAAATATTCTCATACATCCACATTAATATTCTTATTTTGATTCAACATTTTAAGATTTAGATGCTCTTAACAACATTTTGTTCATTGATTTATTCTCTGAGTACATTACTTTAAGAGAATTGGTTGAGTCTTCTACTCATATATATGGTCATCATTAGCCCATTGTTAATTGAGAAAAAACACACACACACATATAGAGTTGTTGAACTAAGAATGCATCTAAAATATTGGATAGAGCACTGAGCTATATATACTCATTATAATGATGGGATGCTTCTAGTCATTGCTAGTGGATATTATTGAAGAAATAGTATGATCTTATCAAAAAGATCAGATGATGTTAGAATAATATTTAATCCATCAAGAGGATGAGTATGATGAGGTGGCAAAAATTGGGTCATTCATGGAATAAAAATAAGAATATTCACAATTGCCTCTCTCTCTCTCTCTCTCTCTCTCTCTCTCAATGGCCATACTCTAATTAATTAAGGTGGACAAGACTAATTCAAAGGTAAAGGTCTATTGTAACTTGAGCATCATGCCATAAACATGGAGGATTAGAATTTAATAATAGAAAGTTAATTATCACTACATAACATGCACATCCATCATCAATAATAATATTGAGATGGTAGGCAGGAATGGAAAGTGAAATGATGTAACATATGGCCCTTCTATCCTTCCACTGTTCAAATCAATACAAGATTAACTATTCACATTATTGAGTTCTTGACCTTTTCTTAAACTGCAGGATAATTTTCCAATAAATTAATAAAAATAAATAAGATAATTAGTTCTTTTCATATACATAAACTTTAAAAAGATAATTTGATCACTCAGCTTCAAAATTAATAATTTTTTAAGATTCATTTAGAAATAAAAATGATTATATATGCTAATTGTCAATATACATATATGTTACATGGCAAGATGGTAAACTTACATGTCACAGTGTGACAAAGGAATACATATGCTAAGAAAAAGTGACTTGTCATGTTGAAGTGCAACAATTTTTGTCAGGCAATGTTCAGAGATTCTCTTTGCATATGATTTGACATATATAAGTAAATGATGATATAGTTTAACACAAGTAAATTGTAACAATTTTTCACAGGAAGAAAAAGGAATGTGTTTATATTGTAATCAAATAAAATATATATTATTATAACATATGTTAAAAATATTTATATGATAAAATGAACTCAGGAGGAAGAAGGTTGAAGACTCAACATTAGATTGTTTGAAGGATTAATAGAAGATAAACCCAAGTCAATCTCAATGAAAAATGATCCAATAATTTAAGTTCTCACAAATATAGGTTATCTTAGATTGAATTGGTGAATCTTTAATTTTTGAGTTAAAATTACATAACATTAATGAAATTTAAAGAATTTTTTTTACAAAGGATAAGTACTAAAATTGTTTTTTTTTTTTTCCATTTATCTATACATCCATTGGGGCCTACCACTTTGTCCTATGATGTTTGGAATCAAAGGTGTATTAAACTAAGTTGGAATCATTGTCCCAAATGCTGTGATGGAATGAGATGTCACATAAAAAGTTATCTCTAAAATAATAATATTAATAAAGAAAAGAACCATGAGACCATTCAAGATATTGGACATGAATAACCAATGATGATAATAGTTAAATATTTCTCTTTTTTTTTTTTTTTTTGTTGGGGTGGCTTATGGATCATGCAATAGCACACAGAATTAATGTCTGACAATTTTCCAGAAAATTATTCCCTACATTTTAATATGACAAAAGAATCCTCTATCATTTATTAAGAAAGATAAAAATGATTGAGAGCATGGGAACTTCTGTTATATTAAAAAAAATATAAATATTATGTGGGAAAACAAAAACATAATATTATTTAAAATTTTATTCTTTATAATTAAAAAAAATTAATTATTAATTCCAAAACAGCACAAAGCAAGTAGAACAAAAATAACTTTACAAACATTATAAGAGGTCAGCAGAATTATTATTATTATTATTATTATTAAAGCGAGGGTAGAATTATTATTACAATATTACTAAAGGGTATTTGTGACATTTCACGGTCTCTAATGACCCTAAGCTTCGTGTTTAAATAGGGCGTCTATGAACGCCATCCGCCGGTAATATCGCCTTGTCTATCTATTCCCTCGTCTTCCTCTCTCTCTCTCTCTCTCTCTCCTCCTTTGTCACAGCTCACTGCGACTGCCATCTCTGCAGAGTTCCACTGTAAGTTTTCTTCCTTCTCTCTCTCTCTCTCTCTCGTTAGATTTATGTACCTTAAGAAGCTCTGGTTGCTAAAGACGAAGAGAGCAACCTTGTTTATGGATGTATTCCTTTTCGTTTCTCTTGATTTCCTTCCTCTTTTGACTTAGACTCTTTAGATCCGTTGTTGGACTGATTCGGAGCGCCTGTTTGTGTTGTTGTTTTCTGTTGAGGCAGAGGTGGTAGCGAGGAGATGAAGAACTCGGTGTCAGATCGCAATCTCTTCATCGAGAGCGAGGAGGACGATGACGTCGACGAGGAGGAAGAGCACAAGGCGCAGCCGTCGAGGGCGGCCGACGACGATGACTCCGACTGCTCCGATTCGTCCTCCTCCCCCGACGACGACGACGACGACGACGGCCCCCCGCGGAGCAGGCCCAACTCCTACTCCACAAATTGGCCCCAAAGCTACAGGTACCCCCCGTTTGCATGGATAGATCGCCTCATGCGTGCCTTACGATCGCGATCCGACGGCGGAAAACGTTTCCCGGGTTACCGCCGTTGGATCCCGATCTCGATCCGTTGGGCCGCGGCGGTGGGAATCGGCTGGTATCTCGCGCGGCGAGTCGTGATCGTAGGGGGTGTCGTTCGAAGGATGGTGGGGTAATAATTTGGTGACAATACCTTTAAATTTAGCGCGGCGACAGATTATTAGGTTGGATGGAATATTTTTGATGGCGTTAAGGACGAGGCTGTCGCGGTATTGTCTCCTTCCTCATCAATGCGACTTGGATCCATCTCTTCAGAGACCAATATTATTATTAGCTGTAAGTGTACTACATACCCTCCCTCGTACATACATTATATGTACGAATTGTAGTAGAAGAGTTTTTGAGTCAATATTGGTTTGTAAGGGGCCGTACGATTTCGTGCAGAGTTTTGATCCCTCCTATCGTCACATCCCAACCGTTGGTACTTACGGATCATGTTGGGATGGTGGGGGTGAAAGAAGAATTAGTAAGTCCGTAAGTACCGCATAGGTTCGTAGCTCTTATATAAATGATTAGTTCCGTATAAACTCAAGCTCGGACAGCACATATATTTTTGGGATCAATTAAGAATGATCAATGGAGATGAAGCGTGAGGAATCCGACCTAATTAATCTATTAACGGGGGAGAGGATGGAGGTGGCAGTGGCCTACTCTGACTTGTTCTACGTATTTTAATGTCCAGGGGATGTTGCTTCATGTTTTGGATAGGATTTGTGTCGAAGGGTCTCGGAAAAGGGTGAGGGCTGCTGCTGTGGCAGACTGATCTGTCGCGGACTTGTTTGCTATAGGTTGTCCAGTAAAAGCCGAAACGGTGCCTGTGGCCCGCGACAGCTTAGACGGAGGTGGCAGGGTGTAGCTCTGTAGTCTGTCCCAGGACAGGGAACAGGGTTTTCTCTCTCATCCACTGCCTGACTATCGTAAGGGCCCATACTCTTTGGGATCATTAGAATTATCGAGAAATATATTTATTTAAGCAGCCTTATAACGAAGAAAATCCGCTGTATGACATTTTGCAGTTTATGATTTCTGGAATCTTATGAAATCTTACATTTATAAATAACTTATGGAAACGTTAACCAACATGTCATACAGCGGAGGTGCAATTTGACAGTATTTTGTTTGGAAAGAAAAATCCATTGGAAGATCTTTTCCATAAACAACAAAGATAAATTATTTAGTTTGGAGAATGGAAATAAAACCTGTTTCCTATTTGGTTTCGTTTGTTTAGCATACGGAAATATTGTTCCATTTTAGAACTTGAACGATGAAATTTTCCTTCACTTTTTGAAAAAAAAAAGGAAATCGAACGGTTAATTTTGTTTGTAAATTTAGATTTTTTTTTTATTTTTTGTTTTCTGAAATAAACATAAACATTCAAGGTATGCCTTTTTTACCACGAAAGGCATCATCAACATTATTAGGTTAATAGACTTTTAATTGGTAAAATCCCAAGAAGCCATCATGAAATTTAATTTAGATTGGTCGTGATTGTAGATGAGTGTTTTGTTAAAATGGATTAATTAATTATTAATTCATATTTTTTAAATATAATGCAATTGGTTTATAAATATAAACTAAGATTTAATTTATTTCATCTAAACATAAATTAGATTAATAAAGTAATTTGAAAAGTTAGAATAATGGGGAAACAGAACAGAAATAGCATCGATTTGATTTGTTCCTTGTAGGTGTAGCATATCCTGGTAAGTAATACTATTCATTTAAAAATTCGATTGCGTTCCAGTTTCTATTATTGCAGAAGGTGGTCTAAAATTTGTATAACATTTGTAAGCTTATTGAAAATTATTATAAATAGTTCATGGAATCCTGTTTTAAGAAGCTACTTTGCATAAAGTAATTCTTATCCGTTTAACTGTAGGGCTAAGTGAGTGGATTATATCAGAGTATAAAGATCGTTTAATGCCTGAAAGGTTCTGGTGATAAATTATTCAGATAGTTTTACTGATTTGTATGCAATGCTTTTGATATTGAGCCTAAACGATGAACTAAACACAATATTTCTACTTCTTTTTTGTTCTCAGGCAATCCATCGACATGTACAGTAGTGTGACTCCACCAACGATAGGGTTCCTGGGGACTCCAACACTCAGCAGATTGTCAAGTTCCTTCCTTTCTTCCTCGTTTCGAGGCAAGCACACCCCAGAAATCATTGCGTCACTTATTAAGCCTTTACTGCCCACTACTGCTGCTGATCTTCAACTACAAGACGAAGAAAGACAAAGCTCGCATTCGCTATTGATCCCTCCACTGCCATCGAGGAAGCCATCGTTAGAGAAGATACAAGAGAAGGTCTCTCATGAGTTACCCGTATCCCGGAGCTGTTCCTATGGACAGGCGGTGCTCAATGGTGTGCATATCTCGATCTCATCCTTGTTATCAACTTTTTAAGAGTATGAAAATTTATTTTAGCTTATTTCTTAATGTCAAAATCTATTTTATGTATTGTTTGCATCTCTTATACATGTTTGCCTTTATGTCACGTATTGATAGTTGTTCGAGGAGTTACATAATGTTAAGAGCTATGTTGAATTCAAAGGCCCAAATCTACAGGCCTTTATGACCACTCGCAGCCAAATATAGGACTTGTTCACCATGCAAGTTTAACTCATAGCTTGAGAACCACAAAGAGAAAAAAAAAGAAAAAAAAAAGGGGTTCTTATCAACCATCCGTAGGTTTTCGTGATCCTGATATCAACATAAGGAATAATTTGATTGTAGAAATAATCTGTGTAAGAAATTAATTCACCGTTCTCATTTGACATTTTCATTTTTTTTTTCTTGACGGTATCATGTGAAACTTCTTTGTTAGGGATGAATGTTTTATGTGGGGTTGGGATCCTTTCAACACCTTATGCCGTCAAAGAAGGAGGATGGCTTGGGCTCTCCATACTCTTGACATTTGCCGTGCTTGCGTGGTACACCGGCATTCTACTGCGCTATTGCTTGGATAGTGAAGAAGGCCTGGAGACGTACCCCGACATAGGTCAGGCTGCCTTTGGTACCACTGGTCGTTTTGCCATCTCTGTAAGCCCTTCATAGCCATGTCCACTTCCTGTATTCTCTTGAATCTTAACCGCTATTAAGAACTGATGAACTAACGCTTTCGTTTCATGTTCTCATGAACATGCAGATAATCCTCTACATGGAATTGTATGTAAGTATAAATACCTGAATCCACGTCGTCATCATCATATCAGTCTTTTATCTGATGACATTATGGCTTATTATTGGGGAGAATCCACTTGAATGATTTTTTTGGTTGGGCTTAAACATGAATTTTTTATTCTGTCAATTGTGATACCAATCATATGAGTCATAGGGAATCAAAATTAGTGAATTAACATTATTTTATTTAATAATTATGATAGTATTTGTGATTTCTAATGTGCATTCATTTTGCAGGCTTGTTGTGTTGAGTATATAATATTAGAGAGGGATAACTTATCATCACTATTTCCAAATGCGCAACTGAATATAGGCGGCATACATTTAGACTCTCGTCTACTCTTTGCCATCTTGACGACTATTTTGGTTCTCCCCACTACGTGGCTTAGAGATTTAAGTGTTCTTAGTTACATATCAGGTCAGTATATCCCCTTCAATAATTTCTTGTTGCAGTTGTCATTAACACTAACTAATTTGGTAAGATGCATGAGGTCAACATTTTAATGGATCATTTGTTTCATCCGCAAGTCAAAAACACAAAAGAGCATTTTGAGAAATATTTTATTATTGTTTAGAATTTTTTCCAGATATTGTTTAGAATTAGTAATTTGGGAAACACACGGTCAACAAAATCATATTTTAGTACTGGTTATATGCATCATTTCATTCTTTATACACAACTAAGTGATGATTGTGGCATGAAATCTATATACGTGTATATATAAATATTAATCATGTACTAGCAAATGGATTTTGTGAGGTCTAAATTAATATATGATCAATTAGTTATCCTTAAATTGCACTTTCTTTTATTCAAAGCAGATGCAGATGGGTCTGCAATCACCAAATGAACCCTTATCACCAGAATCAGATAAATTTAGAATTCATCAAATATTTTAAGAAAACGCATGCTTACTAGATTCTCATTTAATAAAAATATCCACTTATAGATTTATTAATTTTCCTTTCTTTCTCAATATTTGGCAGTTGGAGGAGTTATTGCATCGGTAATGGTTGTCTTAAGCTTATTTTGGGTTGGTACAGTCGACAAAGTTGGATTTCAAAATAAGGGCACTTCACTAAATCTTTCAGGTATACCAATTGCCATTGGTATATATGGATACTGCTATTCAGGTCATGCAGTTTTCCCGAACATATATTCCTCATTGAAGAAACCCAATCAATATCCTTCTGTTCTCTTTACCAGGTCAGTAGATCTAAGACATGTTAGTATTCCTTACCTTTCACTAATACACAGAAATCTAACTACATTTTGGCCAATCATATTTGTAGCTTTGCAATTTGTACTGTGATGTTCGCTGGGGTTGCTGTCATGGGTTACACTATGTTTGGGGAGTCAACGCAATCGCAATTTACTCTCAACATGCCACATAATCTAGTGGCTTCGAGGGTTACTGTGTGGACTACGGTAACTACTATATTCTTTTCTTTATTATTATTTCTCAATGAATGCGAACTTTAACTAGTTGGTCTATAAAATGCATGAAATATTGATCTTTATTTCATTTTCTTATAAATCATTGAAGGTTTTTCTGCTTGCATACATGAAGGTACATCTTAAAATTTAAAAAAGAAATCATAAAATTCTGTATCTCTTTAATTGAGAAAAGGGAAGAAAAGAAAAAAAAATCATTGGAAAATTACATTATCAGAAACTTTGATTATAATTCATAAACAAGAGATTGTACTAAAAACACTAATGTTGTTGTTTTTTGTGTTGCATATATTAGACTAATTTGATCAATAATATGAACGTAAATAAAACTGTGAGACATGCATATTTGATAATTTATCTAAGTAAAAAGGGAAAAAATGTATTCTCACAACAATAAAATCAGCAATATCTTTTAAGTTTATTTATTAGATGTTCAAATTAAGATGTTGACTGTTTAATTGAAGTATTTGTCTTAAAAATAATTACATCCTGAGATAATGGTCGAGTTGGTTACTAATGTTATTTCATAGACTTTTGGTTGCAGGTGGTGAACCCGATTACTAAATATCCTTTAAATGACATTTTCTATTTTGATCATATTGTACTCCATTGAAGAACTTTGTTTAATGGTGATACTCTTTGTTCCTGTAAGTTTGATTCAAAGATTTATTACATTATCAAAAAAATGCTTCAGCTTCTTCAATTAGTTGAACTTTGATTGGAAGTCAAATGAATTTTGTGGTAATTCCAAATTTTCTACTAAAACTATCTTAAAAAACATTTTTAATTCTAAATTTTAAATAGATGGTAATGATTATGGTCTCTTCATAGTAGCGTGATATTTGGAAGTTTGCACACAAATTCTTATGGAAATTTTTGTTATCCTTAACTTATGAAAACATATGCATTAACTCTGACTCCTCTGGCACTGAGTTTGGAGGAGTTGATACCATCAAACCAATCAAAGTCGCACTTGTATGCAATCATGATAAGAACAACGCTGGTTCTTTCTACTCTGTTAGTGGCTCTTTCCGTCCCTTTCTTTGGTAAGCTTATTTCATGTTGCTTCCTTTTCAGTTTTACAATATCTTACCAATTATTTCCTAAGTGTTAATTCCCTAAAAATTTACATTTCAATTCATGACTTAGCAACGCAATAATTTACTTGTAACCTAGGATGAAATAACCCCTCTTTTCCCATTTACATTTTCTATAAAGTTTTTCAGCTTTAAGCACTTGTATAATTTGGTTATTATTTTCTTAACAGGTTTGGTGATGGCTTTTATTGGATCTTTGCTCACAATGCTCGTTGTAAGTTCTAGATTTGCTTCAAATTTTTTAAAAGTTTGACATCACTGTTCTATCTATAATAATTTTATTTTGTTGCAGACTTTGATTTTTCCATGTGCTTGTTTCTTGAGCATACTTCGTCATAAAGTTACAAGAATTCAGGTAATAACATTTAATCAATACCTACAGCCATATATGCTCCTATCATTTCATTTGCAGAAGGTTTTTGATATGTCATGAATCTGCTGAAAAAATGGTAATATAATAAGTTTATATTTGGTGCAAAATAACAACCAAGCTGAATGTAAAAGTTCACAAGATATTTCAGAAATATGTTCTTCACAAAACCATTATATTAAGTTTGTTTAGCATCTTATTGAATCATTGATTGACATCAGTTCATCAAAGGAGAAAGGGTCAAAGTCTAACATCCTACTAACATAAAAAATTAATGCACACTTGCGAAAAAAATGTTTAGTGTTTGATTTGATTCTATCATTGTCTATACATCCTTTTTACAAAAATCTCCAAAAGAACTCTTTATATTTATAAGCTTCTCTTTGTTTATCTAATCTACAAAAAATCAGAAACATTCATTTTATTCCAAATATTGGTTTGCTCATCATAAATAAAAAAAGCATTCACAATTTTAGACCACTAAAACACTGAACGAATGCTTATTGATGATATAATATCATGCACATATTAAGAGGTTCAAAGATAAATTATAGTAGTATCTAAGTATGGATCCATGTTCTACTTTATCCACGAGATAAAATAATTTAAAGTCTTAGTTTCGATGCATAGAAATTTAGAAGGTTGAATCATTACATAACTAATAATAATTTGCTAGCTAGCATCTTATGCGATGTACATGCTGTGTAATATATTGTCTAATTAATTTCAATTGTAGGGACTGTTTTGCATCATCATTATCACAATTGGAGTTGTTTCTTCCATTGTCGGCACCGTCTCATCAATCTCCAAAATAGTAGATAAATTGAGTCAATGATCACGGCACCAAGCAAATCTAGTTGGTTGTTCCTCATTTTTGCTTTTATTATTTATTCCTACTACTTTTTATTTATGTCCTCTTGTAAAATTTGTTTATCGGATACTGAACTAGTGTTGGTCTTAGTCTTTTCTTCCTCTTTTAATTTATACAAGTACAATAAGTGATATGATCTTATGCATAACATGATCTAATGTGGTACACATTTTAAATGATGATTTCTTGCTTTTATGTTAAACATTGTTGCTACTTAACTCTTGTTTTGTTTCTTGATTTGCAAGTGAAATCGTCATATTTTGACCTCCTTTTGTTGTATTCATTTGTGCATATGCAGTTGCATGCTAGAAATGAAACAATCATTCCATGTAGAGTGAGTGATTGAAGCAATGCACTTATCACCAGCCTTGTTGTCTAATGAGGCTTTGTGTGTTTTCTAAATTAAATGACACCACATGCACAATTAGAACAGTTAAATTCGTGATTAAGGAAAGCCATGGCATCAACTCTCGATCACTTGTGCAAGATTAAGGAAATCATCATCAGTCAATTGTGAGATGAACACGAGTTCGGGTCAGGTTTCAGTATATAGAAACATCTGAGTCTCCAAAGTCAATTATTTTCCTACTTATCCATTAGTTATCTTTATACATCCCTATAAATTTTCAAAATTACTATAAATACCTTTACATTTATCAATCTTCGTCGTTCACTAAGCTAGAGAAATTATAGTTGACAATAATATTGTCTAAAAATATTAAGTATATATATATATATATATATATATATGTTAATTTATTTTAAACTTTGTAAGGATTAATATACAAGAATCTTACAAGGAAAATATATATACTTAATCTAAAAACATATAAAACCCAACCACATTATTATTAGGCCAAATTACATATATATCCCTTCAAAGTAAATTATTTTGGACAATTTCCCTAAAGAAACACTGTATTTTAGATTTTTCTCGGGTGATAACTCATGTTTCCATATTTTCCATAAAGAGTCCTTACATTTTTTTCAAATACCCCAAATTTCATTCATTTATTTATTTCTCATTGAGTGCCTCTACAATTTTCTATATTTTTCATAGAGAGTCTTTTTCATTTATTTTAAAATATATCAAAATCTTCTTAATTTTCCTCTATAATTACATAAATTCCGAGAAATAATTTTATAAAATATCAAGATTCAATTGATAATCAAGTAAAAATACTATAAATGTTATTGAAAAGCATTGATATAATATCGTGCGTTGTCATTATTATCATTACAATATCATATTTTTACGCTTATAGTTAGTTTGATTGAGGTCAGAAATCTATTTAAATTATTTTATAATATTTTTAAATAGATTTTATAATATTTTTATTATGATAATTAAAATATTATAATAAACCAAAAATACTATAATAGATGAAAAAAATTTTGCATGATAGTTTTGGAAATCTTAAAATTAGATATACTATTTAGGTAATTTTAAAATTAGATATGCTATTTAAGAAAAATAAGACGGGATATATCAATTAAAAATGTTCAAAATATGATGATTTTTCAGAAAAATCATCCCATATATATATATATATATATATATATATATATATATATATATATATATATATATATATATATATATATATATATATACGTAATGATTAATTTTTGAGCGAAGTATCTATGTTTTGTTAGAGGAATACATGGAAATATGTTGTTTGTAGAAGGATATATACGTAAAAACACCATGTTATCATCACCCGGTCTCCCCGTGGCAGAGCAAGTCTACTGTTTGCTTCTTGTCGAAGCCTCAAATCCCAGGCGGCATCCCGACCATGCTCTGAGCCCGCCGCCGCAGTACTTAGTCTTCATCCCACCATGAGCTTGGAGCCCTTCGCCAGGTCGCTCCTTCCCCCTCTTTCCAGAGTTAGGGTTTCTTTTCTTTCTTCCTTCCCGCTCTCTTTCCCTCCCTCTCCCCTAGTCCCATTCGGCTCTTTGCTTCTCGGATTTGCTGCTTCCGTTGCTCCTGCTGATGCTGGTGATGGGTCTAGGTTGGTGCGGCTCGCGGGGAGGGCTTTCTACGACGACGTCTCTCTCAAGGGGGACAACCAGCCCAAGAACGGCAGGGGCGACAACAGGGGCATGGCCGTCATCGTCCTCGACGCCCTCACCAGGTATCGGGAGCTCGTCTTGGTCGGATGGTTCCGTCTCCCCTCTTTTCGTTTCTTCGTCTGTTTCTTACTCTTGGAGTCTTCCGTTGTTGGACGTGCCGTGTGAATTCTTTTAGTTTAGGAACCCTAAGTGCACCTATGTTGGCTGAGAAATGTCCGATTCGTTTTCTTTCTTGTTCTGTTTCGGTTGAAGGGTTCTTCCAAACTGCCCTTCGGCTAAAACTGTTGCATGATTGGACGCTTATTTAGTTCTTGTGTTGCTCATAATTTCCTTTTTCTTGATTTCATTGATATTCTCCTTGTTCTCTTTACCAACTTGAGATTATGAGCAGCTTGATGTGGACTTTTATAGGTCAATTATTTGAGTGTTTTTTTTTTATGAAATATTTATTAAGTTGGGTTGCGTTTGTTCTGCCAACAGAAGATGGGAGATAAATACAATCTTGGTTATGCTTAAATGAATGAAGCATGTGTTATTGTTGGAATTTTTTGGTACAATCAAACTGTTACATTATCCAGGAATATGGAAAAAAGACCCCAGTGAGTGATTTGAAAAACAAATAAGGTGAAAGTTATTTTTATGGTTTATGTTGGTTTATTTAGAAAAAAATTTCCTTATATGATTGATATCAATTCAAATTTAGTCATATTTGATTTTCTGATGATTCTAGATTCGAGCGGCGCTTGTGGTTGGAACAAATCGTGTGTCAGCATACCTAGAAATTATTTCTATTAGAAATTAAGGTTTGAATCCACTTAAAAAAAGAAAGGGCAGCCTCGCACACAAGGCTTCCATCAGTGCTAGCCACATCCTGGTAGAGAGATTCAGGTTCCAGTCCTTGGATGGATGCAGTTTAACATTGCCATAATGAATTTACCTGATCTGTAGCCAATCTGTTTAAATTAAATTGTTGTATTAAGTTGCTGGTTGGGTCAAGTTGTAAACTCTAGTCATATCCAATATTAATTGGATCTAGTGTCAGATCGAATTTGGTCAGATCCAATCCAATCTTTATAATACTACATCTATATTCTCTTGGTAAATCCATTAGTTTTTATCAAGAATACTTAATTAATTATAATTCTTTTAATTTTATTAATTATTCATGTAGCCGACCCCAAATAACTGGGACTTATGATTTTGTTGTTGTTGGTGTTGTTAATTTTATTAATTAATTAGTTTTCGTTTATTGGAAGTTCATTTGCAACTCATTTATATGTTAAAAATTAAAGCTCATTGTACTTGAGTTTCGAGCAGACTTCCAGATGAACAAGCAGTTGTGTGCAACTTAATAGTTTACCAGGAACTTGACTTTCATGAACTCAAAATTGGGACCTATTCTTACTTTTGTCAATTCACATTCCTCACTATTAAAAGTTGACTGCTGCAGTTACCCTCAAAAGTCTAAAAGATTTCCCCTTTATTTTCCCTTTTTTTGTTGGAAAATAAAATTTCAGTTTTGTAGTGGTTTCATCTGAAGGAAATGTAAAGAAGTGACCCATTTATTAGGAACTACATTTGAGTCACATGTTTATGGCCAAACATACTCATGCTTCGCGTTGTGTAAATGCATCGCACATATAAAGTGAATAATTCTATTTAAAACATTGGAATGTGGTCTTGGTCTATAAATATGACACATGAAAAGGAGAGCCTTCTAATTGTAGAAACGTGTGTATCAATTGAATGACAATAGTTCTTGTTTTATGATGGGTTTTCAATAGGTTCCCAGATTGACTGTGCTTAACTTTTTCTAAGGTTTGAGCTTTGCCTTGAGTGGTGCATCTTAAGTTTATAAGAAAATCTGCTCAAGCTATTGGAATGTGGAGTGGTCTACCGATATAATAACAACACAAACAGATTTTTCAGAAAAAAAATAGTTTTGATTTATTCAAAAAAATCCTTCTGGAGCTTTTTAGTTAATGCTAGACTTTGGCAGATTTTGTTTTTGGGCGTGGCAATAGCAAGTATGTTCATGGATTGGTTTGTTTTATTTTTATGACGTCAAGTGAAAAATCTTCACTATGACCTAACCATCCACCAGGTTTGGGGAGGCCTAATCACCCACAGAAAATTTGGGGATGATTGTTTCACCTCGGTAGCAGTACTTTACTCTTCAACACCTAGTCTTGTTGCCTTTCAAGAGAAAATTTCGCTTCTAAGAATTCTTAGTAACTAAGTTAAGGTGGTAAGAGATAGTTAAGAAGCACGGACGCGATACGACACGGACATGGCGATACACCATTTTTTAAAAAATTAGGACATGGATACGACGAGCACATATGTATTTTTTTTTAATATATATATACATATAATATTCAATTCAGGGTCTACAGTATCGAACTGTACCGCCCGGTACGGGCGGTATGTACCGGTCCGACAGGTTGCCGGTACGCGGACCGCCTGTCACCGGTCCGAGTGCACTGTAGCACTGTAGCAGTGCTACAGTACTCGGCACACCTGAGTGTACCGCTCGGTACACTTGGGTGATCCGCTCGGTATACCGTACCATACCGGTACCGAGCCCAGGTCGAAATATCGGTACGGTACGGTATTGTGAACCTTGATTCAATTAACATGAGTTTTATAATATTTATACTTAAATTTTATAAACTCAGCAATGTGAATAAATAAATATCATCATACAAGTTAAAACAATTAAAATCATCTAAATTTAAGTATCCAAAATAAAAGTCGAGTACATTAGGTAATATTTAACAATCTCCAAATATAGTTGATATATGTTTCCTTGTGACGATCTCCAGATTTCTTTTCTTACGAAGCATATGACCCTTATGTGAGGGCCACACGAGCACAGTGCCGCACACAAGTGTTTGACATGTGTATCGTGTGTCCTTCATGTGTTGGACACGGACATGTCCACCAAAAGCACGTGTCCGTGCTTCTTAGAGTGACAGAAAAGAAATGAAGCATACGAGACAGGCCATTTAAGTTAATAAGCCTCTTCTTTCTGAAATTTGAGCTTTTCTTTTGCAGATCGACATATCTTAGTTCTTCAAAGTGACTTCCTCTAAAGATTATCAATATAGGAATGATATTCGTATCTGTTGGTGCTTGAACTATTTCTTCATTCTCAACAATTTTCCAGGCGCCAATGGGTGAGAGAAGAAGATTTGGCTAAGACCTTAAAGCTGCATGCAAAACAACTTCGTCGTATTTTACGATTTTTTGAAGAGGAGAAGCTAGTCATGAGAGACCATCGGAAAGAGGTTACAATCTTTTCCATATGTAAAGCATAATTGACTGTTAATGACTTTGTTCATGAGTTATAAAATTTTGCTTGACCCATGCTTTGCTTTGTAGGATTAGGAGTCCTTTGCAGATTATATGCTTAGCTTAGCCAAAAATATTAATTAGCTGTTTTTTTCTGGGTTTATTCTTTGGTGAATATCATGAATTCTTATTTACTCAATAATGGCCAGGTTGTAGGAACATGTTCAAATTGGTAGCACATGCTATCTTGTTGGTCCTTTTATCCTTTATTTTTCTACTACAAGCTGATGCTAATTACTAAAAGAAAATGAACCCAATGGATGAGGCACTTGCCAATGTGGTGTTTGGTTGATATCCATAGTCCTATGCCTACAAATAGAGAGATTGTTTCCATGACTTTGTACTTTGGTCATCCAAGTTGCTAAGGAGCAACCTCACCATTGTATCAAGGCTTGCCATCAGCATCCTACTTTCTCAAAGTTCAATATTTGGGATGCTATGACTATTTCTTTGGTGACATAGGTAAAGAATGACTTATTCTGTTATTATATGCAGCATAATTGTAATTGACGTCATTTCGTTGTACAGTGGAAGTGTCTACATCTCAAAGTTGTGTTGTTATTGATCATGTTTTTTTGTTGGTAACTTAACAAGCCATATTCTTACGCATTTAATGGTTATTAATATCCAATTTAAACATGGATTTCCTGCTGTGAAGAGTTGACTTAACCCTTGTCTCACTCCTCTCTGTCTTATTTTCTGAAACCTTTTTTTTCACTTCTTTTATATGCAAGTCCAAATTAGAAGACACTTCAACTTTTATGGTATTAGACAAAACCCTTGGGCATACCAAGTTATACTTTTATAGTGTCACTTCACCACATCACCTCAGAACAAGTGTAGGCTGATAATTATACAGTATGTTTTTGGTCCATTCTTCAGTTTATAATTAAATTTAAAATCAACCATTAGAACGTGGATTGTGTTTGGATATGTGAATGATGGTTTGAACTTTGAAGTTCATTTTCCATTGACGACGTAAAACTTGTAGCCATTTTATCCAGAAAGTGATCAGAAATGACAACCAAGATATGCTAGTTAACGCCTGAAAGAGGTGATGAATTTGATTTGGTTGTTAAAATGATTATCAAAATTGACAATGGACGATGCCTTGGAGAAGTGTCAAATGGTGCATCCTAATCAATTCAGGGTATAGTATTTTAGTTAAATAAAGGTATAAGGCTCATGTTACACATGAAACTAAGCCAAGGTCAATGTAACATTGATGCTGGAAACTACCAACAAAAAACATGTTATGTGTTTCCTTTGCATGCATGGACTTATGGAATCCTAGATAATAGAAGTTCGATGTCAATAGGAGCTTCTTCTCTGCAAACGAGAGCTGACAGTCTTGTAACATGAGTTTTCTGGTAAACCTGCTTGTATTGTTAAAGCAAATTGTTTAAAGCCCCTACCTATCTTATGATAGATGTCTATGCCTAGATGGAAACTTAAGAATAACATCTATGTTTTACTGTTGGTGAAGGAACAATCTTTTAACTCTTTGCACCTTTAGTAGGATGAAGTGAGAGATATTTTGCAGCTTTAGCAACAACAAATAGAGACCCTTCTCCAGCAAACTTTGTGTTTTAGGAGAACATTTTGCTCTTCCTTTGGTTATGTCTTGACTTTTGATTTCATTTTTCATGAGAAAGCTAACTTTCGGTACCAGGCTACCAGAGACTACTATCTGGCATTCTCCTGAGTTTCTGACTTATGTCATTCAAAATCTTGCAGTCAGCTAAAGGGGCAAAAATATTCAGTACAGCAGTAGCTGCCACTGGTGATGGTCAACAAGTAGTAAAGGATGGAGAAGAGAAGACGAAGATGCATACTCATTCTTATTGCTGCCTGGACTATGCGCAGGTTGCTTGTAATATCTATGCTGTTTCTGGTACTCTTTAAAGATCCTTTTACACAACATAGTTTGATGATTTATGTGATGTCTCTAGCAGTACTTTTATCGGTTCTTATCAGTTTCTGATTGTGAAACTTCCAAATTATAAATGCAATGGCTCTTTATTTATCTAGACGAATTTGTGGCCTATGATTGTACCGTTTAGGAAATTGAATGAGTTTATCCTCGATAAAAATGGAGCAGTTCACTTTTGCCCTTATGTTTTCTTCATTTCAGTGGTTTTCATTCTGTTTCTATAACAAGCAGTGCTTTGCTTGAGCAGTTGGTTGGTGATCGGAAGTCCCTAGCCAACTCTTATGTTTGCACACTTTTACCTAACACAGTTATTTTCTACATGTAATCATTTAATTGACTAGCATCTACATGGTTAACCAAGGGCGTGTCAGAAGTTTGACATAAGAGTATAGTTCATGATATTGATTGATATAGGTAAGGATTACAACTTCGTTCCGTACCGTTATACTGAGCCCTACTCGGTATCGTATCCACGATACGTCAGGGCATACCGATAGTACGCCCAAAATTATTAAAAAAACCTCCAAAAATAGAAAAAATAGAAAAAAATAGATTAAGGTTTTTAAATTAGAAATAAATATAAATTTAATATAATTTTAGTAAAAATAATGTAAATTGACCCAATATCAATCAAATTTCAATTAAATCATTAGAACCACTAATCACAACATTAAAAAAACTTAATTAAAACCTAATTAAACTTATTATATGATCACAAACATATGATCTAATCCTTAATATGTATGAAATATAAATATTTGACCTATTAAGTGTCTAATTTCAAAAAAATCAATATTAAACACACTAATCACAGGATTAAAGACCTTAGTGACTCCCTAATTAACACTATTTTACCATAAAAAACATATCAAACAACATATTACACATTAAGTCATATACCACATAGAATAGGTTTTATCATCTCACAAGTCAATAAAAATCTAGAAAGAGAATACATATATCTTGATTAGAGTATTCTTCCTCTTAATTCTCCTAAATTAGCTTCCTAAATTTGATCCAATTCACAAATTGTAGCTTTGTTGAGTTAGGAGAGTGAAAATATGAGAATAAGAGAGAGATGTGAGTGAAAAAGAGTTTGAGAGAGTTTAAGAGATTGAGAGATTGAAATAAAGGCGGGAGAAACGGGTTTAAAAACCCTTTTCGAACTCTCAAATGATTAAATTGATCATTTGAAATAAGGCAATCTCAGTTATTGATTGGTAACGGTCGAAATCCAATCGTTATCGATCGGTACAAGTTGATAACGGTCGGATTTTGATCATTACCACCCGGTACAAGTCGGTAATGGTCGAAATCCGAGCATACCGACCGGTACAGGTCGGTAACGGATGGATTTCGATCATTACTATCTAATAGAGACCCCAAATCGTCTGATACGAGATCAAGTGATTGGTACCACTCGGTAAAGGATGG